GGACAAAACCATAAACAAAATGGTTAACATGATCATCTAATTACTATAGATGATTTTAATTGAGAAATAGATTGATTGACAGTTTCACATCACAATATGACAATTCCTTTCATTGGGGAAAAATTTTGATAAACTGACAAAACAATTTAACCAGATAATTCCACCATTGTGCCAAAAAAAACAACCAAAAATTGTGAAAGAAGGAAAAGAATTGGGGAGGAAAGAGAACTCACTCTTGCTCTACCCTCAGAACCAGAGCCAGAAATTTCAACTTCAACGGAGAAGCCTAAAAAAAAACCAAGAAACACACACACAGCTTCCATGGCAGAAAGCAGCAATAGCTATGGACCTTGGTCTCTGTTGACGGAGAGCTCGAGCGGCGAAAGCAGAGTCTAGACCGTTGCCTCATTTGTCAGAGACTGTGAACCAGAGGCGGACGTCGACGCCGAAGCGGGCGGAGTGTCCGCTCCTCCGAAAAAGGCGAACTCTCGGTCGATTTTGAGGATCGTTGCCGGTTTCACACTGTGGAGCACGATCGTCTCATTGTCTTGGAGGTCGAGTGTCACTTCGACAAACTCCTCCTTCGCCGGCGGTGGCGTCGCTGAAGATCCAGAGTCAGTTCCCGGCGAAGATCCAGAGCCTGAGAATGGAGAAGTTTAGAGAGAGAGAGTGAGAGAGAGAGAGAGATGAGTTTTGATTTGGTACGGTCAAATTTCTCTGTGATATAATAGTGTGAAAGTTGAGGGACCTTAGACATCATAATATAATATTGTGGATCTCTTCCATTACGAAAAGTGGGAGAGGGACCCTATACTAATTTTCCCTTATTTTTTTTTATAAATCCTAAACCCTAAAATAAAAATAAATAAATTTTAAGAATTAAACCTTAAACCCTAAAATAAAAAAAAATAAATTTTATCCCTAAACAGTAAAATAAAAAAAATTAAGAATTAAAATAAAAAAGTAATCATTTTATATAGTTGATTATTATTTGCTATTATAAATTATTATTATATATATTTAATATTGGTTTCAATTTTATAAAATAAAATTTATATATATATATTAAATTATAACTATATATTAAAATTTATATATATATTGAGTGTGAGTGTGTGTGTGAGTCATGCGTGTGTTTGTATCAGAGAGTGAGAGAGAGAGAGAGTGTGTTTGTGAGTGCGTGTGTTTGGTGCATTATTAAAAGCGTGGTTTCTAACCACACTTTCTTTACAATACAGTTTAATTAAGAAAGCGTGGTTAGAAATCACGTTTTGTGAAAGAAGGAAAAAAAAAATTATTTTACTTAAAAGCGTGGTTTGAAACCACGTTTTATGATTAACTTAAAAGCGTGGTTTGTAACCACGCTTTTACTATTTCACAAATTTTTTTGCGAGAGGAGCCTAGAAACAGTGAAAGCGTGGTTTGTAATAGCGCTTTAGCCTAATTTGAGAATTTCGTCTAAACTAAACCTAGTTTTAAAAATAAGTTACTAATTTGGCTTAATTTAAGAAAAGTCCCCTAATGTTATACTCTTGTGACAACTAAAATTAAGTGAGTATTTAAAAAAATATTCTCTAATGGTGTGTGAAAGTCAAAACTTGATAACAATTCTAAATTCTTTTTCAATAAGCTACTATTTTTCATGTCAAATTACAATAATGCAAAATTTTCTTGTCTAATTTATCAGAAAATTTGAAAAAATATATTTTCCAAGAGTTCTCTCTCATAGCATCTCTAATAGTATGTTATACTCTTGTGACAACTAAAATTGAGTATTTAAAAAAGGGTCTGGCTTTGGTTCAGTCCACCATCGGACTAAACCGTATTGTTGGGTCCATGGGGGTCCACCACCGGTCCCGTTTTGAAAATCTGAACGTTCAATGTGTAGAACTCTTCGAGTACTATATGCTTGTAAAAAATTACGTTGATCGAATATCGATAGTTATGTGATCAAATCAGTTTTGTATAAAAAAAAATAGACGGTGAATAAATTAACGGTTGACAAAAAACTGATTTGATCATATAGCTATCGATATCCGATCAACGTGATTTTTTACAAGCATATAGTACTCGAAGAGTTTTACACATTGAACGGTTCAGATTTTTAAAACGAGACTCGTGGTGGACCCCCACGAGCCCAACAACACAGTCCAATCCGATGGTAGACTGGACCAAAGGCAGACCCTTTAAAAAAATATTCTCTAATAGCGTGTCAAAACTCTTACCAAATGCTAATATTTGCCAAATTTGAAAAAGTTTGACAATTACCAAAATTCAGCAAAACACGCATGAAAAATAGTAGCTTATTGAATGGTATTTATGTATGACTTATAGTGCTTTTTTTTTTTAATGACATTTATACTATTTAAATACTATTATCAAATTATAACATTTTTACAAGTACCAAAATTGAATTTGACTTTAATACTATCATTTTGATATGCTCTTATGAGCAAGGTGTATACCATATATACTTTCGTAAATTCTCATAAATATACATAATGTAACTCACAAAATTGCGTAAGTTCTCATAAATATATGTAAGTTGTGATTTCTCAAAATTTTATAGGTTAATTTACGTATATTTGTGAAAATTTACGCGATTTTGTGAGATAACTTACGTATATTTATGAGAATTTATACAAGTGCATATAGTATGCATTTGCACACTTGAATTGTCCAAAGTAAGTTAGTAAGATAAAAATGATGAGGAAAAATAAAAGCAAGCAGAGGAAAAATTATTATTTGGTCTAAGAGTATCTCGTGATTGTATTCCAGACCAATCATAAATCTTCACGCCCTCTTATATTTACTAATTACCTAATATAAAATTATAAATCTCACCCCCTCTGCTAATCAAAATATATCTAAAAGATCGCGTGACTAAACCCAAAATCAACAAATAACTTATGAGACCTTATATAAAAAGTACCACTAATACAATAGATAAATTGGCTTTGTCAGACTCAACTGATCCTTCTCTTTTTTTCAGCATTAGAGCTTTCTCTACCACATAAACAATTTTTTATAAAGGCAACTTATAAACCATTAATATTGCTTAGGTCATCTCCAACGTTGCACCAAATCCATCATCAAATTTAAATTTGGTGAAAAAGTACTCTTTTTTGTACTCCAATAGTTTCATCAAATTTATATCAAATTGAGAAAATAACAAATGTTTCAGCAAACTAAGGATCTAGGCACCTTTCACCAGAACACTATGCTAGACCGTTGCGGATGGTACACACAGGACGACCGGCCAGTTGTCCCCCCGGTCATCCTGTTACTTGAACAATTCCCAGAATAGAGCAATGGTTTGGACTATCAATAGGCTTCCAAAGTTGTTTGCTTCCAAAGCAAATCTATCTCTGGCCTCTCATCGTTCTTTGCATTCTCTCTCTCTAATTTTAGACCCATCCCACTTCTTCATTCATCCAATTCAAGCATTGATAACCCAAAAATCAAGAGATTTTCATTCCAGTCTTTAATGTTATTATTTTTTATTTGCCATTTTGCTCTTCAACAGAAGTCATTCTATTTACTTTTGTTGTTTCTGAGGCCAAACTCCCATTTTCTCAACCCATCTTCTCTCACATTCCTTGTCTTTCTCTGCTCAACTAGCCGTATAAAGATCCGTGTTCTTTGCTCTGGGTTTGTCTTTCTTTGTCTTTGTGTTTGTGGGTGTGTTTTCTTTTTTCACTTTTGTTCTTTTGTGTTTTCCTTTTGTGCTTTCTCTTTCTCTCTGATGTGTTGTTGTCTATAAATTTTCAACTTTTTCAACAACCCATTCGCGAAAAGCTTTAGAATTGTGATTTGGTTAATCAAAATTGGAGAATTCGCTGAGCGATTCACAAATGTGGGGTTTTTTTTTTGAGTAAAAGAAATGGTTCTTCTCAATTGGACTCATGTGGTGGAATGTATGTGATTTGATTTCATGGTTGTGGATGTTTAATGGGGTTTTTTTTTTTTTTTTTGTGTGTGTGTGTGACATTTTGTAATTTTTTTTTACCCATTTCCAAAAGAATCGAAATTTCAACTTTTGATCATCGAATTTTAGGTTCCTAGCCTTCAAAATTGACCATTTCATGGTTTCAACACACTGGGGATTCCTTATCTGATCCATTATATTCTTGATCTATTATTGTAATATCATGCAATGTATGGAACATATAAATTTTTTTTTTTTTTTTTTTTTTGATTTTCTCTTGCTGGTCGACCTTTCGGACAACTTGTGTTTTGATAGCAGTTACAAATTCACCGTTGATATGACTGATATCATATAGAGGAATTCATACTTTTTTTTTTTTTCAAATTTAATGAAGTATTTGATGAATCGTTGGAAATGTCCTTAGTTATCAATTTTTATCTGTTCTTCTTTCCACATTTGTAATATTCTAAGGTTTTGTTTGGCAATGAGTTTTTTGATTAAAAAAAATTAAAAATCATAAAATAATTAAAAAGACAACAAATTTAGTTGAATAAATTATAAATACACTTCTAAAATTTAATTAAAATGCAAATCATTGAAATTGATTCCCAGCCTATCAAATTACTCGTTGGAATTTGTTCACGGGTTTTGTGGCTTTATAGTTACAGTTTTTTGGTTTGAGATGATTTCTAATTTTTTTTAGTTAAATAGATGAGTGTGATAGAAAAAAAATGATTAATTGATGTTTAGGATGTGAAATAATGAAAGAAATAAGATAAACAAAAAATAATTTTAAAAAAAATTATAAATCAAACAAATTTTGAATTTTAAACCTTTAAAATTTTATTTGAAAATTAAACTAAAAACAAAACAGCATTTTGAGAGAGAGAGAGAGGAGCGTGGGATAGTTCACATGAAGCATTTTGTAATTCGTATATTATATAATTATGAGATTATTTGAAATTATTTAAATAAATGTATATTTTAACTTTTTATAAAAAAATATATAAAAAAATAATATGATAAAAATAAATAAATAAAAAGAATGTCAAACCACCCATTTATTTCAAAATTCAAATTCATGATAGGTGATCAGATTCAGCTTTGATATTTTTAGGCTTTGAAAACCGGCAAGCGACAAGTGCCAAAGAATGGAGAGGAAGCCCCAGAGATCCACCGCCGATCTACTGACGTGGTCTGAGGAGATCCGTCCTTCCACCCACTCCTCCCCCATTGTCTCCTCCCGGTCCCACCACCACCTGGTACGCTCTCCTCCTCTTCCTCCTCATCATTTTCATCCTACTCACTCACTCATTAGGGCTTTCCATCTCAGCCCCCCGATGGGATCAGTAATACCTTGTATGGAGGTCTAGTCACTGACCACGAATCCTACACCCTCAATCAATGGTCAGATCTCCCTTCAATTTCAACTTCCATTTTTTCACAACTTTTGCTGTGCTTACTTCTTGTTTACTTGTTGTAGATTTCAAATATTTGCTTGCATTGCTTCTTTCTTGTGTTCCATGATTTTTTTTTTCTTGGGCAGATCTGTTCAAATGCATTTTCATTTTCGACTAATTCCCCAAATGTATCATGTAATTTTGGTGATTCGCATTGTCGCTGATTATTTGATTGTTTAACTTCTACTATGAATTCTTAATATTGTTCAATTTTGTTTATTGCTGATGTAATTTATGTAATCTATGATCACAATTCACATCGCCTTGAATTTCATTATGCAAGCTTCCACTTTTCGGTTGGAGTTGTATTGAATAATTTTGGGAGTCCAATACATCGATTGGCTTTTTTCATTATTATTATTATTATTACTTTCTTTTCTTTTCTTTCATGAAATAGGGCTTTCTAAATTAAATTTATTTATTTTGGTAAATTTATACTTTAAAATGTTATAGCTGTGAATCAGGATTTGCCAATTGGTGTGTAATTGTAATGAAATGCAACCATAAGCATAGCAGCAAATTTATGTTTCCAAGATGGGCTTTTTTTTCTAATCATATTGAGCCCCTGCTAAGAACACATCTTAAAGTACGTGTTACGTACTGTCATGGATTTACATGCTTATCTTAGAATTTACTATTCATGTTGACTAGCCCTGGATCATGTTTAACGTTTTTTTTTTATTTTTATTTTTTCTCCATCTATCCAAGGAAGAAATCTAAGTAGTTTCAATTGTTCTTAAATTTTCAAACTATTATTTAGTTTTGTTTAGCTCATTGTTGGGTATTTTAACAGCTTCTTTTAATGTTGTTGGGTTTGCACAGGGACAACAATCTTACTTAGAATTGGTGTATTAGCCTGCAATATTATTAACTCATATAGGACATGAAGGGAATTCATAAAGAATTAAACTATGGTATGGAGGACTTCTTTGATGGCCAATGCTATGATTGTTACATGAAAAAGCTAAAACCATAGCATATGACAAGCTAAGACAGAGTCAAGAATGCTCTTTTGTACCACATTGCAACTGTTAATGTATAATGTATATATTATATTAATGTATAATATATTAATACAGCTAGCTATAGGACAGAGCATAGGATTCTTATTCTTCTTTCGGCTGCTTTCGGCCCCTTTCTCTTTTATATGTTTTCTCTCATAATGATGTTGTATAGCAGCTCCTATATATGGAGTCTCTTCTTACAGTTTATATATATATTGAACAACAGAGCTTATTCACTCTTTCAATATCACTCTCTCAACATATTTTACATGGTATCAGAGCACAGGTGTTTTTCCTAGCCTCTTCTTCCGTTGTATCACATTTTTTACTTTGCAGATTGCTGTGCATCTTGTCTGCATCACATTTTCTGTTTGGCAGATTCTTGCACATCTCGTCCTTATCTAAATTACAGATTGGACAACACAGCAGCCTTCGTCTCTTCACTACGAATCCACAGCCACCAGATTCATCATCATCCGACGTCTCACGCACCCGCACGCGCCATATTTGTCCCCGGCGCGTCACCTGCTTCTGCCTTCAACATCCCACGCGCTCCACGCGTCCACCAGTCGCTTGAGCCACCTCTCTCCGCGTCTCACGCGCTCCACGCGTTCGCAAGCCGCTCAAGCCGTCCGAGTGAGTCGTATCTCCCGCACGCGTCACTCGCGCCGCACACGCCTCGTGCCGCTTTCGTCTTTGGCTCACGCCACCTGCACAAGCCTTTTGCCCTCGGCTCCAGCCGGTCCAGCTCAAACCAGCTCAGCACCTTTCCCAGGCCAGTTCACTCCTATTTTTGGACTTTTCTGGCCGGTTCAGCCCGGTTCCTCACTAATTTGGACCTTCTGCATTCACTGGTGCCCTCGGATTTTTCAAATTCTACCTCGATAGTACTGTTTTTCTCTCATGGATCGCCCGGACTCCTCTAACCACACTATTTCTGTTGTTCTTGACGGGACTAACTATGTCTTATGGGCGTAAGCTATGTTTGGATTCCTCAAAGGAAAGAAACTTTAGCGCATCATCACTGGGGATGTGTGCAAACCCATCCCGGTAACCACGGAATCCGCTGCCACCATGGAATCCGCTGCCAAATATGTCGACCGTCTGGAGGATTGGGATAGTAAAAACTATCAGATCATCACTTGGCTTCGCAATACTTCTATTACATCTATCAGCCTTCAGTTTGGTCGGTTCCAACTTGACTCTGCTTCCTCTCCAGCCAAGGCCATCTGGGATTTTTTACAAGAACGCTATCAGACTACTAGCTTTGCTCACTAATATCAGCTTATGAGTTATCTTCACCATATGCGGCAAGATACAACTCAGAACATTAATGATTTCCTCTCCCAAACGTATTATGTTTGGGATCAGCTCGCTCTTTCTGAACCTCCATGGCATTGTACTGAGGATGGTACCTTGTTTACTACTTACCGTGACCAGTAGCGCTTGGTTCAGTTTCTCATGGCTCTCACTCCCCGTTTTGAGCCAGTTCGCGCATCACTCCTTCATCGCACTCCTTTACCCACTCTTCAGCAAGCAATTTCTGAACTACTCTTAGAGGAAATCGGGTTTGGTACTCTCCATCCGCGCCCTGTGGACTCTGTTCTTGCTACTCCCCAGATTCGGAGTTCTCCTCCACCACCTTCACCACAGAGGTCAACTATCTGCAACTATTGTCAAAACCGCAGTCTTCCGTCGACTCATCTTCTGGTTAATTGTCCAGTTCGTCTTTGTTGGTTTTGCAACAAGACTGGTCCTGGCAAGGTTGTTAAAATCGGGATCCTAAGTAGGATTGGTGAGAGGGTCTAGTGGATCGGATCGTAGGATCGGATCGAGGATCGTAAGATCCTACTTTCTATTAAAAAAAAGATAAAAATTAAAATTAAAATGATACATATTAAAAATAAGGTGAAAAATCATAAAATCTACGATCCTACTTGCGATCCTACCTACGATCCTATACGATCCTACTTGCGATCCTATATGATCCCATACGATCCTACACGATCCTATGCGATCCTACACGATCTTACTTGCGATCCTGTTATAACATCGATCCTACAACGATTTGGATCATTTTGGCAAAGTAGGATCGTAGGATCGTACGATCCTACGATCCAAATCGCGATTTTAACAACCATGGGTCCTGGTCATCTCCAGCAAGATTGTTTCCGCAATCCTGCCCGTGCCTCTCGCAATGGTCCTTCCATCGGGAATTTTTCTCGTAGCAACTCTCACCGTTCTAGGACTCCGTTTAAACCAATGCCTGCTCAACGCACTGCTGCTGCTGCCTCCGAGGATTTACCTTCCTCTGTCCCTATAGATCCTTCCACTCCAGTCTTCTCTCACATAGATGTCGAAGCCATGTTTCAACATTTTTGGCAGAATTCTGGTACTCCTCCATCTACTGCTTTGTCTGTCACCGCAGGTAACACTTCTTGGTACTTTGACTCCGCTTGTTGTAATCACATGACCTTTGACCCTACTATTTTTACTCCTCTCTCTGCTACTCCTCATGTTCCTTCTATCCATACTGCTAATGAGTCTCTTCTGTCTATAAGTCATGTTGGTTCTGTTTCTACCTCTCACTTATCTTTATCCCATGTATATCTTATGCCTGCTCTTACTTTAAATCTTATCTCCATTAGTCAATTATATGAGCATGGTCTAACTGTTACTTTTTTCCATACTGGTTGTTTGGTGCAGGACCCTCGGACGGGGCAAAATCTTGGGATAGGCCGTAAGCATGGACGTCTCTACGAACTCATCCATCTTCATGTTCCAGATTCCTCTCAGATCACCGCTCCTACCACTGCTACCACTGCTCCTCCTTTATCTCCTTTTCAGCTTTGACACTGTCGTTTAGGCCATCTTTCTGTTGGTCGTTTAAAATCTTTAATTTCTAGTGGTCATTTAGGTCTTGTAAGTTCTGATGCTTTAGATTGTGTGTCCTGTCAACTTGCCAAACAACTTGCTTTGTCGTTTAATAAAAGTGACTCTATTTCTCTTGCACCATTTGATCTCATCTATTCTGATATTTGGGAACCCTCTCCTACTCCCACTATGGGCGGCGCCCGCTATTTTGTTGTTTTTATAGATGATTTTTCCCGTTTTACATGGTTGTTTCTTATGAAAAATCGCTCTGAGCTCAAACAACTTTATTACAATTTTGCTGCAATAGTTAAAACACAATTTTCTAAAACTATTAAGCTTTTTCGCTCTGACAATACCATGGAATATAAAGATTTTGACTTTCTTTCCTTCCTTCAGAGTCATGGTACTTAGCCTCATCGTTCCTGTCCCGGTACGTCTCAACAAAATGGACGTGCTGAATGGAAACATCGGCATGTTCTCGACGCTACTCGCGCTCTCTTTCTGTCTTCCTCTTGTCCGGAACATTTTTGGGGTGAGGCAGCTCTCACTACTGCTTACACTATCAATTGTATCCCTACACCTGTCATTCATAATCACACTCCTTATGAGCGTCTGCATGGCACCCGTCCCCCTTACACCAACCTTAGGGTCTTTGGATCTGTCTGTTTTGTTCTTCTCCCACCTCATGAACGTACCAAACTTGAACCCCGTTCCCGCCTTTGTTGCTTCTTGGGGTATAGTATTGAACATAAGGGGTATCGTTGTTGGGATCCTCTCTCCCAGCGACTTCGTATCTCTCATCACGTGGTCTTTTGGGAACACAAAATGTTTTCCTCTCTCTCTCTTCCGTTTGTTCGTTCCCTCACCCTCTCTGTTTTTTACTGACCCTTTCACAGATCTATTTTCTGATGAGCTTACTCCACCGCCCCTGCCAGCCTCTCTCGAGATCGCCTTGCCTACTGGTCTATCCCATGCACCTGCTCGCTCTGATGGTCCTGCTCTTGCTCCTTCGGGATCCTCCCCTCCTACTGTGTCTCTTCCTCTGGCTCCTCCTCCCTCTGCTCAACCACACCAGGTAACCCAACCTTCTACTCGTCTTCGTGACTTTATTGTTGGTTCTACTGCTTTTTCTACTTATGAACCGACCTCCTATCATGAGGCTTGCTCTGATCCTCTTTGGCAGCATGCTATGACTGATGAATTGCAGGCTTTAGACAAAACTCATACTTGGGACATTGTTGATCTTCCTCCTGGCAAGACTGTCATTGGCTGCAAATGGGTATACAAAATCAAGACTTGTTCTGATGGATCTATTGAGCGCTAGAAAGCCCGCCTTGTTGCCAAAGGCTTCAACCAAGAATATGGTATTGATTATGAGGAGACCTTTGCTCCTGTTGCTCGTCTCACCTCTGTTCGCAGTTTGATTGCTGTTGCTACCACCCGACAATGAGATCTTTATCAACTGGACGTGAAAAATGCTTTCCTTAATGGTGTTCTTCTCGAGGAGGTCTACATGCAACCTCCCCTTGGGTCTACTTATCCACCTCATAAAGTCTGCAAACTTCAGCGTGCTTTATATGGTCTAAAACAAGCTCCCCGCGACTGATTTGCCAAGTTCAGCTCTACTATTCATGAATGTGGTTTCACCTCCAGCTCTTATGATACTGCTCTTTTTATCCGGAAAACAGCTCAAGGGACCACCCTGCTTTTGCTTTATGTGGATAACATGATTATCACCGGTGATGATTTCGATGGTATTCTTCGCCTTAAACAATTTCTTAGCCATCATTTCGAGATGAAAGACCTTGGTCCTCTCAGCTATTTCTTGGGTCTTGAAATCTTTCATGATTCTACGGGTTCTTTTCTCTCTCAGGCTAAGTATACCTTCGATCTTCTCGCACGTGCTGGTCTTACGGATTGCAAGACTGCCTCCACTCCCCTGGAGCCTCAAAGTCGTCTTACACCTCTTGATGGCACTCTTCTCTCTGATGCTACCCTATATCGTCAGCTGGTTGGTAGTCTTGTCTATCTCATTGTTACTCGTCCTGATATTGCCTATGTCGTTCATATTGTCAGCCAGTTTATGTCGGCTCCTCGTACCCCTCATTATGCTGCCTTAGTTCGTATCCTTCGGTATCTCAAAGGCACATTGTTTCATGGTCTTCATTATTCCGCCCGCTCATCTCTCCAGCTTCGTGCTTTCTCCGATGCTGATTGGGCTGGCGATCCTACTGACCGCCGCTCTACTACTAGTTTCTACTTTTTTCTGGGTGATTCTCTTATTTCTTGGCACAGCAAGAAACAATCTCTTACTGTTCGTTCCAGTACCGAGGCCGAATACTGTGCTCTTGCTGATACTACTTAGGAGTTTCTCTGGCTGCGTTGGCTTCTTGTTGACATGGGTGTTACCTCCTCTGGTGCTACTGACCTCTTTTGTGACAATCACAGCGCTCTTCAAATTGCTCACAATGATGTTTTTCATGATCGCACCAAGCACATTGAGATTGACTGCCATTTTATTCGTCAACACATCACTCATGGTACTGTCCATCTCCATCCGATCTCCTCTGTTGATCAACCTGTTGATATCTTCACCAAAGCTCATTCTCTTGGCCGCTTCATTGAACTTTTCTCCAAACTCCAGTTGGTTGATGTTTGTCCTCCTTGAGTTTGAGGGGGGCTATTAATGTATAATGTATATATTATATTAATGTATAATATATTAATACTGCTAGCTATAGGACAGAGCATAGGATTCTTATTCTTCTTTCGGCTGCTTTCGGCCCCTTTCTCTTTTATATGTTTTCTCTCATAATGATGTTGTATAGCAGCTCCTATATATGGAGCCTCTTCTTACAGTTTATATATATATTGAACAACAGAGCTTATTCACTCTTTCAATATCACTCTCTCAACATATTTTACAGCAACATTACATGCCAAATTGCAAATTAGTTGAAACTAGAAAGTCAAGACCTACAATTAGGTTCATAGATTGATTCATCTTATGTTGATTCTTCCTGTTTCAATCTAACTAAGAATCGACAAAGAATTTTACCTTAAAATCGATAATAGATTTCTATTCTCTGGAAAATACTCAGGCACAACTTTAACAAAATTATGTACCTTTTTTGTTAGTATTTGTAACCAAGTGGTCAAGATGATGTTATTTTGTAACACACTTTGTTGAATCGTGTTGTTAGCATATAAACAATCTCATTTTCAATCATTTCTTCTCCATAGACATTCATAGTGAACCTTGTCAAAATGAAATATTTGTTATTCAGGAAGCCTTGTTCAGGGTATAAATTAAAGGACATTACCGGAAGCAAAATATTTGCCGGTGAAGATGGAGGACCAGAATCCAGCAATGCTTATTACAATCATAACAACAGAACAGGATTACATACTTATCAGGTATTTATTTTATATTTGCCGGATTAACATTGCTTACGATTGTACCTAAAATGTCAGGAGTGCAATTTGCTGAAGTTGTTGTACCTTCAAACTTTCAGCAAGCAATAAATGGAATAAGCCAGATTTCATTCAGTATGGAGGAGAAGGTTTCTCCCCAAAAAATGAATACTCTCTCTGAGGTAGCAAAGCAGCGTGAGTTAAGTGGGACGCTAGAAAGTGATTTGGATGCTAAGACTCAGAAGCAACCGTCTGATGCAAAGTGCAAGGAACTCAGTGGACATGATATTTTTGGGGAACCTCCTGAAATTCCTCCTCGATCATTGGCTGCTGTACAATCCTTGGAAGCCAAAGAAAGCAAAGACATGGTTGAACCTGCGCCACGAAATGTGCGGACATCTGTCAAAGTTTCTAAAGTGAGTTGGTTTGTTGGAGTCCTTTCTCATTTCTGATTTGTGTTTCTTAATATCTTTTTATATTCTCCGAGATTTATCTCTCTTCTCAAATAGTGATATTGAGACTATGACTCAAAGTAGAGAAACCCAAAAAAAGAAATAAATAAAGACTTAAGAAACAAGTTCCCTGGACTAGTGGAATGACCGGAGAGACTCTGTAAGGGATGCGTTTTGTGACACTATAAAAATCTCAACTTGTTCTCATTTACTCTGAAATTGAAAGGAAATTAGCTATTTTGTAGAGCTTGTGGATAATTTCTGAATGATAACTCAAAATTTTGTTTGGTTGAGTCTTCAGATTATGTTTTCTAAAAAAATTTCAAAAACTAGTTTAGTTTAGTAAAAAAAAAAAGAAAACACTGCCATGTTTAGTTTTGAATTTTCAAAACAGTTTTCTGAGTTTTCAATTTGTATTTTTGTATTTTTAATGATTTTTTAAGTTATTTTAATCAATTTGGTTTTTAGATCCACTTAATCTTAATATACTTAAAAAGTAAAAAAAATTGTATAAAAATCTTTAAAAAATTCATTGAATACAACAAAATACAAAAATATATTGAATTTTTGTATTTTTGTATTTTGTGTATTTGGTGATTTTTTTAAAGTTTTTTTTTCACAAATATTATATTTTTTAAGCGTATTAAGATTAGATGTATCTAAAAAATAAAAAATTACGTAAAATATAAAAAAAAAAATCACTAAAAACAAAAGGAAAAATATGAAAATTAAAACACTCAAATTTTTTGAATAGTGGACTTAATTTTCTGGAATCAAACATGTGAATTATATTCATAAGGTTCTCTCTTTCTTGAAGCAGAAATAATTTTTGAAAATTTAATTTTTTTTTTTTCTGGCATTGATTTTTGTCAAATTAGCTTCAAGTTTTCAAAACATTTTCAGAAAACAAATTATTAGAACTCAACTAAACAGAAAAAGTTTGTGATTAGATTTTCTATAGGGAACATCTGAAATCCTCTCTTGGTTGTTTAAAATGTGACACTTTCTGAGCTTTCATGCTCTGGATTCAAATAGAGTTACCTAATTTTGATGACTTATTTATGTATTATTTATTTTTGTTTTTCCACATATGTAGCCTGCTGGAGGTCAAAGTAACATCCGATTTAGCGAAGAACCTGTGATCAAGAATGTGCAGAAAACACATGACCAAAAGTTTGCAGAGCTGACGGGGACTGGCATGTTCAAGGGAGACGTCCCTCCAGGGTCTGCTGAAAAACCATGGAGCAATGCGAAGCTGAGAGAAATGAGCGGCAATGATATATTTGGTGACGGAAAGGCAGAGTCCAGAGACCACCTGGGAGGTATTCGCCAGCCCCCTGGTGGCGAGAGCAGCATTGCCTTGGTTTGATTTTTTGTATTTGTTGCTATGCTTGGTCCCTCTATTGTCTCACTGTGTCTCATGTTCGGACTAGTGAAGCATTCTTTTTATGCTTGTCACTGTTGTTGCCCTTGTGGAATGTGGACTGGTAAATGGACGTTATAGTATAAGAACAGCTTTAGGGCTTAACATTCAGTTTAGAAGATGGGTATGGGAGATTAAATTGTGCTTCAATTGTTCTTTCCAAGATGTGCATTGTGAATTGGATTTCAAGACATGTCAAGTTTAAATCCCATAGTTGGGGGATTGAGAGGGAACTACTCTTAACATAGTTAGGGGACTGGCAGGAAACATGTCAAGAGTAAGTGAAAGGCATGTCGAAGACTCGTTTTGGATTTGTTTTTTTTCATGGGGATTCAATTTGAGAGAGAATATTTGGACTTAGTGGGTTTATTGTAAACCCAATCTTGGTGATTTAAATTGTTCATTTTTTAGAATTTATTGAGAATAATATTTATGTAAAAAATAAATATGATTGGTCTTCGGTAATTATATGTTTAAATCACATTTGTCTTTAAAAAATGAATGGTTATTCTTAAGATTATATTAGCCGTTTATTTTTTAAAAAATAAATGTGATTCAAATATATAGTTATCAAAGTTTAATTATCTTAATTTTTTATATGAATATTCTTTTTAACAAATTCTAAAAAGTAACGACTTGGATTTACTGAAATTAGGCTCACAATGGACTCATTAAGCTCAAATATTCTCTCAAGTTAGACTTCTAACATGAGATAAGTTAAACCCACGGGTTTTAACCCAGAAAAATAAACAAGTTATTTGTTGGTCTTATAATATTGCCTCAATGACTTGACACTGTCTTGAACCTAAAAACAACACCAGTAACAAAATAGGTGGAGCAGGCTTATACCCACTTTGATTTGATTGGATACTTAATAGGATTATGAGACTTTGTTTGGAAAGTGGTTAAAATAATTAAAAAGTGATTACAAGTTATCATATTATTCTTTTTATTTTTTTAGATTTTTTTATAAAAAATTAAAAAGAAAATAAAAATAGCTAATCCGTAAGCGAGATCCAAGTATGAATCACTTCATAAGATTTTATATATAATAGGATTATGAATGATTATTATGTGAGATCAGCAATATTATGCCATAAAGGAATGGATAGAAAGAACAAATATTATTACACTATGTTGGGCAGATTTTAGTGTATCCTTGTCCTTTTTATTATGTACGGATTGAAGTACATCGTTAAATTGTGATGTCCCGAGTTCTTTTAAAGTAATTTAAATATGTTAATTTAAAATTTTTGTCTTTTTTTAATTGTTCTCGTTATCACTGAGTTTCTTGAATCTCGGGTTTTACCTATTCCTTTCCTTGTGGTTGTTCATGTACATTTTAGTGTGGTCTGAGGTGTTAATTTACATCTTTGGGTATTTGAATGAATTCAGGAATTGTGGCCCTATTCCTTTCCTTGTGGCATAAAGGAATGGATAGAAAGAACAAATATTATTACACTATGTTGGGCAGATTTTAGTGTATCCTTGTCCTTTTTATTATGTACGGATTGAAGTACATCGTTAAATTGTGATGTCCCGAGTTCTTTTAAAGTAATTTAAATATGTTAATTTAAAATTTTTGCCTTTTTTTAATTGTTCTTGTTATCACTGAGTTTCTTGAATCTCGGGTTTTACCTATTCCTTTCCTTGTGGTTGCTCATGTACATTTTAGTGTGGTCTGAGGTGTTAATTTACATCTTTGGGTATTTGAATGAATTCAGGAATTGTGGGAATGCTCTAACGTTGTTTTGTCTCACTTCTGAGTTGAGACCACTTGAGCAGTACTTTGGCCGCTTGAGCGGTCATGTCGTTCTTCTAGTTCTTAGTCTTGAAGTCTGAAATACTAGGAGTGTGTGCTTTCACTGCTCGAGCGCTATGTTTACAAAGGAGAGGGATTCTAAGAATTTGAATTCACTGCTTGAGCACAGGTTTAACCACTCGAGTGATCTGTTTGAAGTTAGTGTCCAATCACTTAAAAGTTAAGCCCCTGCACACCTCTTCCTCAATTTTCACTACTCACTCTCTCTGTACATTTCATTTTCTCTCTCTTTTCTCTCATCTCTCTCTAGAAAATGCCCACTAATTTCATTAATTTCTTGATCTCCTTAAATCCATTAGAGATTTGGCCATAGTCTCTTCATTAATATTGAAGAGCTCATTAAAGGCTACATTATATACGGTGGAGATCAGATTTTGACGCTGTCAATTTTGAAGCTTTTCTCATCATTTCTTTCTAAAATTTGAGATAGGGGGTTTCTTTGAGTTATATTATATAGTTTTAGCGTGACTTCTTTATTTTGCTATGATTTTGTGTAGAGGGTTTGAGATTTGACATGTGAGATTTTGAAAATGTTGAAAAGTGATTTTATTATGATAAAGTTCAAATTAAATGATTTTATGAACCCCTTGGGACTGTATGGAGAATGATGTTTTAAAAAATGAAGGGAAAATCCTTTTTGCTCAAACCCTAGATTTGGGGGAAATTATGAAAAATTAGATTTTTGTGAAATGTTTATGAAACTATTGAAATTTTTTTAGAAAAAAGATGAAATTTCTTCATTGTTGCGTGTGATTAAGATATCCATGGGGTGGATGAGTTTTGTGTTAGGAAATTTATGTGATAGCTTGATTATGTATATGCTTGGATTATGAAGGGAAATAAACGTGATTATGAATATGAAATGGTCCATATGTCACATGAATATGGAAGTTTGGAAATGATTGGAGAATTATTGAATATTACATTCTATCTTGAACAAATGTTGAAAATTATGGAAAATCATATAATATAAACTAAATAATTGCATCTCATTTTATTCGTTTTCATAGTTTAGAAATAATGTTCCTTATGGCTATATTTTGGAAATTGTTATATTGTTTTGAGAAAACAATTGTTGATCTTGAAATGTTTTAGAGTAAAATATGTTTGGTAAGTCCAATAGAAAGTGTAATTAGTATTGTTTAAGTTAGCCGGAGAGTCCAAGGTGAAAAACTAAAAACACGCACGAAGGAGGTATCACACGCCTTCCGATTAGGAGTCGGTAAAGTGGGGGATTATTAGTACTTATTATGACTACTTACAGACACCAGCCTAGAAATTACTTGAGTCGTATTTACCCCCCATTATTTAAATTTTGGAATTTATTGAGATAATGCAATGTCTTTAAAACATCATTGCATGTGATTTTCAAATGAATAACACTTGTGATTTTGGAGTATGGCGTGGTATTGCATTCATGTATGTAAGACTGCTTACATATATATACTTTGTGAAGATATCTCTACTGGATTTTGTACTCACCCATAGTAGATTTGTGCAAGAAAGAATGTGATGATTGCGCCAAACTTGGAAATGGTAGAAAAATTCTGGGTAAAACCAGAATTTTTTCTCAAGTTTAGTCTATTTTTTAGGTGGGCCCCGAGTATCGATTTACTCGGGTCAAAGTGGTAACGCGTTCTATGCCGCGTTGTGATTCACGTGGTATATTTGGTTGCTCAAAACCATTACCGAGTGAATGGGAAATTGAAGCCAAAGTGTGCTCCATGGAAATGGAGTTTTGGTAGAAATTCTTTAAGGTTGTAAATTGGCTTGTCCCACATTGTATTGGTGGGAAGTTTTGAAATGGTTTATAAGGCTTGGGTGAGATACTTGGGGTGTGCCCCAAGGGGTACCCAAGTGTTTTAGAGAGAGAGGTTACGGGCAAATTGGGCTAGACCCATTGGACCTAAAAATCACCACACACGCGCGCCACCGCCGCCGTCCGGTCGGTTGGGCTTGTTCGGCCCAATACTAATCTTTTTGGGCCAAAAACATTTGAATTTAATTTTATTTTTGGTAAAATAAAATCAAGAATTCAAATTAAACTGATTTGGATTTTCTGTACATCCAAACAGGGCCCTTCCTGTTTTCAAATAGAAATAAACTAGTTTGGAATTAGTGCACACCCAAACAGGGCCCTTCCCGTTTTTGCTATCTGTTTGAATTATTAACAGATTCAAATATGTTTGAATTCAAAACCAACAGGTATCATACCTGTTCAATTCAAAAACCTAGAGCCACCATTCCATCTATAAATAGGACAACCCTCATTTGGATTTTGATAACTCTAATTTTCGTCCTTCATAATTCTGCAAACATCCTCTTCATTTTGCTGCATTATTTTCTTGTCAGAGAGAGTATAAACACTTTGTGTGTTCGTTAGACAAACAATTTGTAGTGCTGCTATTGTTTGTAGTAGATCATTTTATCCTGGGAGATAGACGTCCAAAGGACACAGTGTCAAACACTGGACTTGATCAAAAAATAATTCGAAGAAATTAAATCAAGTAAGTTGTTTAATTTATTTTCAGTGTTATTTTTATTTATTTTAATCAGATTTTAATTTTATTTTTGTAACAAAATAAAATCTTTTTTTATTTATTTATTTTTATTTCGAGTTTGATTTTTGTAATCAAACAAATTCTCTCCTTTTTCTTTATATTTTTGTTGTTGTTCTGTACACAACAGAATTTAATCTATTTAAATACAGTGAAGATTGTCCAACAAGGGCGTGGGAAGTCTTTGGAGAGCACGAGGCTCTTTCTGTTAGTTCTTTTGACAAGCCAAGGCATCTACTTGCGTGGGTTTGATAACCACCTTTTATGTAACCAAGCCTAAGCCTTGTAGCCCATGAGGCTTCTTTTTCTATTATTTTCTTCTCTTTTAACTATCTCACATGCTATGGATTCAAACTTTAAGATTGAATATGCATTGCATGTGGACCTTTTGTAAATCTCTCTCATGAATGAAATACATATATATAGAGATTTGATCACTTGAGTTGAGTTTATTATGGTTGAATGAGTTAATTAGACCGATTTTTATGTCAATTATTTAGAAGCGTTTTTCGTTTAACTTAACTATAAGTGTCAAATATGTGTCATACATAAGGGGATTATATATTCATTTTCAAACTTTAAGAAAATAAATCGCACATAGAAGAGAGGGCGAATTACACTAACGATTATAATTTGAGACTTATGCCACTTTGATCCTTGACCTTTCAATTGTGATACATTTAACCCTGAGTTTTGAATCTTATTCCAAATAAGGACAATTGAAGATATCGTTGCCTTTGAAAACGGAAAGTTCTCAATTTCAAGGGCAGAGTCATTAATTGG